TTAGTGTGAACGTGCGGATTGGTACCTACCGTAATCGACTATTTGGACCCTACCTTTTGCCTGCAAGGTTAAATGCTGCGACCTTCTTGGAATTTTTAAAGGCTGAACATGCAAATATGTGTGATGATGTTATGTTAGATTTAAGAAGATTGGCCTGTTCCAGCTTGATGGTTGTCCAGCTCATTATTCGAGAATAGTTAGAAACTGGCTGGACGAACATTATCCAGAAAGATGGATCGGCCGTGGAGGATCAGTCGCCTGGCCTCCACGATCCCCTGACCTAAATCCATTAGATTTCTTTGTGTGGGGATTTCTAAAAGAAAAAGTGTACCAGACTCCCGTAACCACAAGACATATGCTAATAGACAGAATCAGGAATGCATGTGATGAGATAAGGCCTTATTTGGATAATGCTATACCACGTTCGATCATTCGTAGATGTGAATTGTATATTGAACAATTGGGTTTACATATCGAGCAACTACTTTAGATTTTGTATGTTTGTCCTAACTATCCAATAGCATTTTAGTTGTAAATAATCAATTTAATTTGTTAAAAATAATATTGGAACATTAAACAAATTAATATTCTGTTTTTTGTGTTTATTTGGAGTTAGGAATTATTGATGTGTTTAAAAACACAATCTGAACGATCATCTTAATTACTTGTAATGCCCAAATCGAAAATGTAAAAAAAAATATTATTTTCCCATAAATAATAAAAAATGCCTCGAACCTTAAAAATCGAAATATCTCAAAAACGGCTAGCTATAGCGAAAACTCACGGGAGGGCTTTTTTATGTTGAAAAGTGCGAAGAATCAGTTTTTTTATTCAAAAAGCAAAAAATTGCACTAAGAAAAAAATTTCGGTCATTTTAATACACTACAGGCATAGTAGAGAGCGCCCTCTAGCGGCTACAGTAAAACTACGCCCATGGTTCGTTTTGTCGTGCCAAAAAACCCTTGTATACCAATCCCTGTTATACATCAAATATTGTTCGAAATATTTAAAAAAAACTATTTTAGAAAGTAAATTTAAACACCCTGTATTTCGGAAGCCACGCATTTTTCGACCCATGTTTATATAGACTGTATGCATTAAATTTAAAAGTTCTATCGAATCTTAAAGTTATGCAACAATAAACTGAAATACGCTGTATATCAACGACCTTCTTTTCTCCACGATCAATCCAATCAACCAACTAGAAAAAAGAAGACTAGCACCCTTCCTCTCTGACGAGAGACCTGGAAGTTATCACTGCATGAGGACGCAACGATCTTGTACAGTTTATTACTTCCAAAATACAGTACTGTACCTTGACGAACAAAAGCTCATACGGTCTCGATAGATGACCGAGTTCTGCAAATGAGCCGTTCATTTCGGCTGGTCGGAGTCCAGATCACGGAGGACTTGATCTGGCACAAACACATCTCATCAATAGCAGCAGCTGCTTGGAAAAATCTAAGTAATTTGTTTAGGGCTAAGAAGTACTTTTGTCCAAATGGCCTCATCAGTCTATACAAGGCCCAAATAAGACCTTGCCTTGAATATTGCTACACGTTTGGTTTGCTGCCGCCCCGAATACGCTATCGATGCTCAATGCCGTCCAGAGGAGGGCTGTCCGATTGATCGATGACTTTTCTCTAACAGAAAGTCTCGGCACCCTTTCGCACAGGCAGGCCGTCAGTGATCTAGGTCTCCCCTACCCCTACAATAACGAGCTGTGCTCTTCACAGTTCTGATACATGATGCCGCCGCCCGATGTGCCTGCCAGCCTGACTTCAGCCTCCCATCCTAACCGTGTCGAACTTCGTCCATTTAGAGCTGGACGTTCCGACCTCTCCTTTGTACCTAGGGTATCGAGATTGTAGATCAGTCTACAAGAGGAGGCTTTTCCCAGTTCTACTAACATTAGGCAGTTCAAAAATTAGATCAAAAGTTTTGTTGGAATCCCCATAGCAGCCGTGATATCCAGGCATTTAGGCTTCTGCCTGCGCGGCGACTTCGATATAATGAAAAGTGTAAGTTCAGCAACACTACATTTGAGCTAGTCCATTCCTGACAAACTAAATCAGTCGATTATTTTCCATTATCTGAGGCTGCAATTATCCTGCAGAAATCTTGTTGTACTCGTACTATACAGTGTCAAAAGGATGTTCTAGAAAAACCGTTTTCCACTGGTATCCTTCAGAAGCCTGTATCTGCAAAGTGAAGGATCACTACCGGATGACAATATTGGTTTAGAATAACCCCAAGAACCACACAATAAATGTTTGCCTCATGTCTTAGAAACACTCTGTATCCAATACTACATACCAATGACGCTAAACAGAAATCTTTGTTTGAATATATATAACCTTGAAAGCTTGGCACGCGGTGTTAAAATTTGCCACACCCAACAGTGCCATGTGGGTCAGGCTATGTAGTTATTCGTTTTAAATAGTCCGTACTCGTTGACAGTCCAAATGTAAATTGGACCACCGTTTTGTATGTAATGATAATATTAGTGTTTTTGGCATAACGACATTCCTTGTCACATTACGAACAGTATCTGCCAGGGAGCGATCGTGATACCAAAAAGTCGAGTATAACCCAAAATGGACATGTAGAAGTAGAGGTGGAAATATTAGATTAGTATGCAATTTTTGAAGAGTTCCAAGCTCTCTCCTCTGTTATAGGAATTCCATCAGGCTTTTTTTGCGATAAGTGTCTGGTATGGCGAGCAAATACACAAGTAACTCCTGTTTGATCACGCACACCGTCAAAGGGTAACGGACAAGCGGCTACAATACAAAGAAAGAGCTTAATGAGTTATTGAATTTGTTCGATAAACAAATTGGCAGTAGACAGCTCTTTGTATTATACTCGATGTGACGTCCTTTATGCTCCCTGAGGGGCTTCGCGTCGCGAGGGTGCAACGGTGCTCGATTAAAATTTCTCCAGCGTGTCACTGTTGACAGATCGTCATCAGGGACGTGTGTTTTTACTTATTGTACAATGAAAATGGAGTGGAGCTTTCAGGAATACGAGTATTAATATTCTTCGTCGGTGTAGATGAAATATTGAATTGATGTTGGGTGGAACTAACCTAACTGGAAAGGTTATAAATAATTGTGTAAGCAAAACCGGAATGCACAGTAAAGCAGAACTGCTGATCGTTCATTACAATGAGTGTGTTGAAGAGCGTTACACTTCCATAGTTAATAAACAAAACAACAATATTTGTTCCAAAGTTAATTGCCTCCACGAACTTGCAATCATTTATATGCTTTATGGGATTTACATGGAACAAATTGTAGCTGCTTTGTCCTTGTCAAGCTCACTTGGCGATGTATTTGGTAATAGTTCGTAAAGATATGTTTCTTTGCACATTCAGCCTCTCATAATCATTCATGTCCTAGGGAATTTGCTCAAACAGGAATGAGCAATTTGCAAGATTTTGATTTTTAGTGGTTTAAGATATACCAGTTTGGAGTAACCGCTGACACTTTTTTGGAACAAAAGGCCTTCTTCACTGAGATTTCCCTTCTCTCGCTCTTTCTCTCTTATCTTTGGATCTCGTTCAAAATCCTTGGATCCCCTTGAAAATATACTAAGTGACATATAAATCCGAACACCCAGTTTAAATGGTTTTATTTTAATAGAAGTTGGTGAATGTATTTATCTTACTGTAAATAACAAGTGAAAAAATTTTCAGCCTTATCAGTTGGACATTCCGGTTTTTATACTGCTTTTTTTTAATTCACCAACGCTCCAAAAATGAATATTTCAGCCGCAGTAAAGAATCAACGTTGGCGGATTTTGGTTCTTGACATCCTTTACGATCGGTTACGATGCCTAGAGTACGGCGACCTGTACGATTTGGTCAACTTAGTGAGTTTGATAGGGGCCGTATAGTGGGACTTCGGGAAGCCGGACTTTCTTTTCGGGCAATTGCAGTTAGAGTGCAAAGAAGTGTAGACACTGTGGTTAGGTGTTGTCAGGCATGGCTTCGAGAAGGCCGTACGCAAATAGCAAGGGGCACTGGACGCCGCCGTAGAACAACAGACCGTGAAGATCGCCGCCTAAGATTATTGGCCTTAAGGGACCGTTTTTCCACTACCAGGTCCATTGCAAATGAATGGTTTGCAGAACACGGAAGACCTATTGGCATGCGAAGTGTTTACCGACGAATGAGAAGTTTTGGCTTGTTTTCATACCGGCCACACTGGGTCCTCCATTTAACTCGAGAACACCGACGTAATCGCCTTGAGTGGTGCAGACAACGGTCACTCTGGGATCAGGAATGGAACAGTATTGTCTTTAGTGACGAGTCTCGATTTTGTTTAGGCATGCACGATGGTCGTGCCAGGGTTAGAAGGCGACGTGGTGAAAGGAGGAATCCACAGTTTTTTGTTGAAAGACATGTTCATCACACTGTTGGAGTTATGGTTTGGGGTGCTATAGCTTATGGTACAAGGTCACCTTTAATCTTCATCAGAGGTAACATGAACGCGCAGCGTTATATCCACGAAGTTCTAGAACCCCATCTTTTACCCTGTCTTGACACCGTGGCAGATCCAACTTTCCAACAAGATAATGCCCGACCACATACTGCAAGAGTCACAATAGACTTCTTTAAACATAATGATGTCACATTGTTACCATGGCCACCAAGATCTCCCGACTTATCCCCAATTGAGCACGTGTGGGATAAGAAGGGTAGGAGATTGTTCAATTTGCAACGTCCTCCTCAGACTCTAGAAGCACTTCGAGAGGAGTTGGTGGTTGCCTGGAATGAGATACCACAGGAGGACATTGACCACCTGATCAGAAGCATGCCTAGGCACGTTGGAGAATGCGTAGCACATCAGGGTGCATCCACACATTATTAAAGGTCAAAGGGCTTTAAAGCAGTGCAATCATTTTGAAATTTTTATCATTTACTTCATGCTTCATTAAGTACTTATACAAAATTTTATTAAAATAAAACCATTTAAACTGGGTGTTCGGATTTATATGTCACTTAGTATATATGAGATCCAGAGATGTCTTCAGATTTCCTGGATTTCGTCAGATCTCTTCGTACTTCACCGGATAGGTTCCCAAGATCTACAGAAAAATCAGTAGAATTTGAAACTCTCTGCTATGAGAGAAACGTGCTGTGCCCCAGTTTTTCTCCATCGAGACCTTTCTCTCGGTCTAACCGTACCTGTAACCTTACGAATGCCAAAATTAGTATCTGTTAACGTAAGACATTGCGAAATACATACATTCCCGGCCTATAAGCATTGATTTTCTGAGGAAGCCGGTTAGCTTCAACCAAAATACCTATTGGTATCAGATACAGACCTGCAGATTTATACAGTTTTCAATACTGCAGAGAGGCGCAAGCAGACGAACCGGTGCAAGACAGGTCTCAGGAGTAATCAATTAATGGATGAAAGCAATGGAGAACGGAAAATTGCCAAGAAAGGTTCTTTTGCTGCTGGCGTTGTTGACGGAGCTAGTTACCAATGGCGTACATTTTAGCATCACATATTTATCAACGGAGAACAATGTACTTTTTGAGGGACACCGGACATCTTTAGAACGCTTGATACGTCACTAGCGGCTTAAGCCTACGGCTTTCTCCAGTTTAGACTGACACTTTGGACATGCAGCCACGGTGGACTCATCTAAAACGCTTTCTTCATATTAGAGAATGATAAATGACTGACAATGATACAGTGTGTCAGATAATTGAGTTTTACTACCAGGATGCTAGATGATGATGATGATGATCATGAGGCAACCTTACCCCAATGGAGATACTGACCAACCTATTATTCAACGGTTTATGACTACTTTTCCTAGATGTTCACAAAATAAAGCAGCACAATTCTGACGTAACGCTGATGGCGAGAGCGCAGTCGATGTGGTAAGGCAGGTGGACCTGGCAAGCGAACATTCGACTGCGTCCATTTTTAACAGATTGGAAAAACGTATGCACCTTGTTAGAGTGTTTGGTTATCGAACGGCTAAATGGAAAATATTGAGGGAGCATTGGTTCCACTTCCAGCCACAACGTGAAAATTTTAAGCAAAGTGCGCTTGCAGCGGTTCATGGGACTTTCATATTAAGTCAACTATCCGTCCATCATACATACATAGTTTCACCACTCGACAGACCATATCTGTTTTACACCACGTCCTTTGCTACGTTAGCATCTTAACGACACGATAACAACTTTTTGAGAATTGTCCATATCTTTATAGTTTTGCAGGCGAATTCCTTATCGTAAACAATTCATAACATTGGTCAAACTCACCTCTACCAAATCCAGAGACATCCAGGTTGAAATTGTCATTTCCTTTCTTCCCATCCACTAGTTGGCCCAAACCATTTGACAGGTGGCTCATTTCCTCTACACCATCATAAGTGCGATCGGTGAGATCCAATTCTGAATTGACTTTGACTCCTTGAGGCATGCTGTAGCTGAGAATGCCCTCTGTAACAAAAAAAACTTATATAGTATGTGGATGTTCAATGTTCTCTTAAATAAAGAGACGATGGTAAGTAAATATTTCTGAAACGTTTTATTCGGTAGGTTTTCTGCTAATTCGGGTAGATGGCCAACAACAACCTAACCGTTAGTGGTTCTAAATCTTCTGCTGTGCTGTTTTGTTAAAACCACAAAAGAGATGTAGTCAAAGCTTCTTTAAGTATATGTATTAATAATAATCAGAATCTTCGTTTTACTGAAACTGTTTGGTGCCTAGGTGTGTATTGATGAGAATGTGCGGCTTCGCGAACATTTGAATAAGCTCTCACAAAGAACTTATATCCGTTTAAGAAATTTGCTGAATTTTAAAGTGCAAAAAAATTATGTGATCTTTTGCTATCAATTTTCAATTATTGAGATCTAGTTTACTCCTGTTTCGATGTTACGCGTCGTAACAGAATATCTGTCGTACAAAATAACTGCATACGGTTCATATTTAGTTCAAGAAAATTTGACCACGTTTCATATCGTTACACTATACCTATATCTTAACCTTCATACGTAAGTTGCCCATCTCTGAAACTCCAATTTATTTACGTATAAAGCAAATGTTTAGATACAATGTTCATCAACGATCTGTCCATAACACATCTTCATTAACAATGCCCCTTCATACTTCATTTCTTTTTAAAACGGTCCTTCAAATACAATGTGTGCGTGTTGTACAATAGCTTGGATTATTAAACAAAAAGACAGACTCTATAAAGGGTGGCCCATCCATGTGTGGACGGAATATTACTCATAAACAAATACATTTTGGGAAAATATATTTCTGAGATGTTATACATGACATTTGAGGGCACATTTATAAAATATTGGCCAATTTCGACCTACATATCAAAGTTGTGATTTTTCAAATAGAATGCCTCAAGCTTTATTGCATATTTGGATAAACCGATTCAAAAGAAGAAAATTGATATAACATACTATGGGGTAATTAGCTACTGAGATATAAGGTGTTTTGTCTAGAAAAACTTCCACTTCGGCAATCCCTCAGTCCGCCATTTTGAAATTTGGAGTGCAGGATTTTGTATCAAAACACATCTCAGCTTTTATCTTATTTGTTACTTTTTCGAATTTTTATTTTTGCTCATACAGGGTGGAAAAAAACGCTAGTTATGGTTTTTCTCAAAAATTTCAAATGCATCAATCACCCTGTATATCTGTGCAAGTTTGGATTTAATTTTTTATAAGCTTTTTTTGATACTAGACACATAAGGGTTTTTACGGCTATTTTGTCGGTTATTAGCACGTCTTTTATGGAACGGCTTAATTCCCTAAAAAAACCATTTAAGTGCACGGCAAATTGAAACAGAAACTGATATATGCAGAACTTCTGTCCAAAGGATTATTCACAAGCATAGGTACCATCCATATCACCTATGCTTGCATCAAGTCCTTCGTCCTCAGGATCTCGCAGCTCGAATGGATTTTAGTAGAATATTGCTAAATAAAGTGAGTGAAGACTCTACTTTCCTGGATAAGGTTCTTTTTAGCGATTAGGCAACTTGTCAACAGGCACAACATGCACTATTATGCCACGGAAAACCCTTACTGGGTTAGCCAAGTAGATTTCCAAAATAAATGGAGCTTGAATGTTTGGGGAGGAGTTTTTTTTTATACTCCAACTAGCACGAAGGCTTAACGCCTAAACACCTATTGGGTACCGTGGCGCTATAGGGGGATACAGGGGAAAGGGGAAACGCCACACGGACTCTGGCGAGGGAACACGTGTGCATGCAACATGCACACATTCTGGCTCCGCCTACGAGATCCGCCGGGTGGTACCTCCACGTTCGACTGTCAGAGACCGTCTACCACCTACGGACAATCACAACATCCATAACCAAGAGAAAAATTTCTCCTGGGACGGGACTCGAACCCGCACAGCGCACGGCGACTGATCAGGAGACCGAAGAGTCTACTACTGCGGCCACCGCTGCTGCCTAAGTTGTTATTGGCAGACAAGTTCTCAGGCCTTTTTAGACAACAGATTTACAGGTACAGAATACGTGAATTTCTTGATCGAGCATTTGCCTTTGCTTTTGGAGGATGTCAACCTGCAAACTCGGTTGCATATGTACTTCCAACATGACGGGGCACCTGCGCATCGTAATCGTGTGCGTTACTATTTGGACACCTGGAGTAACAATCGTTGGACCGGTCGTGATGGGCCTATATCTTGGCCTCGTAGATCATCAGATATGACACATGTGGACTTCTTTTTATGGAGCTGCGTTAAGCAAGAGATTTATAGATATTCACCATTTACCCCAGAAAATATGAAGGAAAGGATTAAAGATGCTTTTCTGAACATAAGGGAACACATGCTGAGGGATGTGCAACGGTCATTTATCCAAAGACTACGGCTGTGCATTCATCATGGTGGAGATATCTTCAAGCAGTTTTTGTAGATTAGGTCTTGAGTAGTGATAGCTGTTTATTTATGTTGTTGTTATAGTTGTTTTTCTCCATTACGCTTGAAGCTGATTTATAATTGTTATTACTTTTTACGTCAAATCTGTATGTACTCTTAGTGGCAATATGGAACTAGCCCACTGTTTGTCTTTTGTTTCCATGGCTGATGGGAGTATTTCCCTTAATTTTGGTGTGTTGTTCTATTAAAAGCTTAATAACTCAAAATCTAGAGATTTTATCTGAATAAAATCTCATACCAAAAAAAAGCTTATAAAAAATTGAATCCAAACTTGCACATAAATAGAGAAATTTTCGAGAAAAAGTACAATTCGCGTATTTGACCACTTTCTATGAGCAGAAACGAAAATTTGAGAAAGTAACAAATGAGATAAAAGCTGAGGAGTGTAAGTTTTTTTTATACAAAATTTAGCACTCTAACACAAAACACCTTACATCTCAGTAGCTAATTACCAAAGCCCCATAGTATGTTATGTCAATCTTTTCCTTCAGAATTGCTTTATCCAAATATGCAATATAATTTGAGGCATTCCATTTAAAAAATCACAACTTTGATATGTAAGGCCAAAATTGAGATACCCTGTATAATTTCCAATATTTTTAAAATGTGCCCTCAAATGACATGTATAACATGCCATAAATGAATTTTCCCAAAATGTATTTGTTTGTGAGTAATATTCCGTCAACACATGGATGGGCCACCCTGTATAGTTTTAGAGAATATCTAAAGGCTCTTCTACTTAATGATTCTCATTAAACGTGTTTCTCTACAGCCTATACTTTTACAGTTGTACTTATCGACTATTATTGATATCCAGTAAATGGTTAAGTGTAAGAATAGCTGTTATAGCTAAACTTCGCTATTAAGTTAGTCTGTAATTTTATTATAGGTAATGCATGTGTTATTTGTAATTTGTTTTTAATAAAAGGCGGTTTAGTATTATTATTATTATTATTTGCAGGTACTAGGTGAGAAAGGTAATTGAAGGGACTAACTGACATTCTAATGACTGTAAAACATTATTTTGAAGCAATCTCCGGCATTTCCAGGCACTTTTCGCCAGCAATAACTTCTGACAGATGCCCTAAACAAGATGTGCGGGTCCCTATTCTTATGTGAGCGGGAATAAAAAAATGTTTTGGAAAAGCTTTTAACCGTGAACTACGTGAAAACATTCTTCATGCCTTTTTCTAATACAGTGCCTTGCCTACTTCAGAATGATCAACTTTTAATAAATAAAAGTATATCTTTAGCATCTGTGAAAACCTATAAATACTCAAGTGTCACCATTGATCGCCACTTGAGATGAGAAGGTCATATGACTAACGTTACAAATACCTTACGACAACTCTTACATCGCTTTACATACTTAATAAAAATGTATTATTCATTAGTTGAATCACGTCTGCGATATGCAATTTTGAGGTGGTGAGTGCCGCATATTGCCATTTGCGGCCTGTGGATATTCTACAAAAAATAACGTTAAAAGAAATATCTGGCTTGCATATAATTTGATTGCCATCATTTGCCTATGGGAGGCCGAGGTTCAAGCATATAAAGACAATCTAGTCGTCGTAGTCAGAGGGGAATCTGAGGAACATATCTCGGGAACACTCCAGAAGGTGTTAACCGCATTAGCGGATTGGTACGAAGGGGAAGGAATGTCAATCAACCCGCAAAAAATGGTCATCGTACCTTTCACCTGAAAGAAAAAACTGGATGGGATTAAACCTCTAACAATCCAAGGTGAAAATGTACCGTTTGCAAAACAGCCGAAATTACTAGGAATAATCTTAGATAAAACACTAAACTAGAATTCGCATCTGGACTTTCTCAGGTGGTCAGAGCTACTGGTGGAAATATAAATATGTGTGAGCCACAATAGACCAAAGAGTCGCAGTAGAGGACCGTTATTGATTCACTCACAAGAAACCTAACCTAACTTAATATCTGACAAACAAATTAGTTCTCCTGATAAATTATTTTCAGAGATCGGGGCGTTTGACCTAAGGCAACTGTTTCCGCATCAACTAATTCAATTCATGTACAAACACAAAAGCAACTTAAATGAAGTTATTCATGCTTATAGTACTAGTCATAAAAAAATTAAAACTTAAAAATAAATGTAAGCTTACGATACAACACCTAGCTATTATGTAAGATTTATGCCATACATGTACCGTATGTATATTGATAACATAAACTCATCGCCTTTGATAAAAACTAAAAATATATTTTTTCAATTGGAAGAAAAGGGACAAGAGAGCTATTAGAAATTGTGAAATTGTTTACTAATAATCGTACAACGCTAATGTTATTCCTCCTTACCCTCAATACCTCTAGTGTGCTGGTTACAATTTATATGTGCTAACATCTTGCTCTAAGCAAAGCCTAATATTAAAATGCACAACCAACCATTTCGGATCTAACGGGCTTTACAGGATATTTTCAAAAATGTTCATTGGCTTATAAAGCATATCAATATAAATCACTGAAAAGAATTCTGCCAAAGTCACGTATTATGTTTTTCTTGCTTACATTAATTATACATTTAACCTTTGTGTGTCTCACCA